TTTTGCCCAACTAGTTGATCTAGAGATGGATAAATAATACCGGTAGCAATTGAAACACCCAACCCGACAACCACAACAAGCAAACAAACCCCTCCTTATTCATTCTCCACTTCTTCTACCCGGTTGCTGTTGTTGCCGCCACCGTCCACCGTCATCGATCGGACTGTGTAACTATACGTAGTTGCTGAAAACAAAGTCCATTGCCATCAAAGGATTACTCTAGAATGCAACTACCTTTACCAACATACTAGAATTAGGTAGAAGAATCGGCCGCCAACCTTTAACATCTATATATGTATCCTTGCTACTTGTATTTTGTGGGAGTGTGAAAGCGTGTGAGAGTGTGAAAAGAGCAGGAAGAAAAGTGAGGGGAGATAGAGAGTGGATCATAGAAAGAAGTTGTGGAAGTAATGTTAGTGGACAGAGACTGAGAGAGTGAGTGGAGAGAATCTGTAAAATTAGAATGAATTATGATAGTGAGAATTAAATGTGAGAGTGGTGTCCTACAAATAAAATAAGTGTGAGTTTGTGTTCAAATTGTGTAAAATTCATTTCATCAATAAAATTCTATTTTCTTGGTATTTAAAATTCAATAATTTGATATCGGAGCTTAATAGATACTTCATCAATTTATTAATTTATTAAAGTTGTCTTAGTTATTTTCAAAATATACAACTTTGATTGCAATGGAAAGGTAACTTTTAACTTTTCAAAATATGAGATCCCGTATAATGCAGTTGTCTAAGTACACATTTATAGAACAAGCTTGTATCGTGTATTTTTTTTAGTACTTTGAGTTGTATTGAATTATATTTTCTTAATTATATAATTTTTATGTTTTGGTGTATTTATATAAAAATTGAAGAATTTTTAATATTATTTAATTAAATATTAATAAATAAACTTGCTATTACAACATGTGATTGTCAACAGTGGTCAACAGTCTATCCTACGGTCAACAGTCCGCCCTAATTGACATTGGACCCTGAATTCACCCATGTCTTTGATTTGTTCCACACTCATATCGGAACCCGTCGCCCCACGAAATGGAAAAAGAGGGCAGTTACTCGGAATAAGATTTTCTCTTATTAGAAAATGGCCAAAAAAAATGTCATTATATTCATAAAGCATAAAACTCTATTCGTATTTTTCAAACAAGGCCAAGCACGTATTATTCAACATGCTGAAAATTAAAAGAAATATGCATACCCTATAACACGGGAAATGGCCAAACCACTCTTCATAAATAAACTAAATGATAATTCTATTTAATAGAAAACAAAAACCAGATTATAATTATGATTACATATGAGTTTGTTCAATAGTGATTATGTGAATTGATTTTTTGACTGTTAGAGAGAAAGTGAGGTCCACTCAATGACAATTAAAATAGTGAAATAATGATCAAAAATTGATTTTTTTGAGTGAAAAATTGCTACAAAATGGGGGCATACATCTGCAAAACTTAATTTTGATCACATAGTTGAACAAGAAGACGGATGTGGATCAGAAATTGAATAGGTGGTAATATAATTTGGGTCTTGAAGTTGTCTCACAATTGTATAGTTGTAATGTGTTTGGCTCTGGTTCGACTCCTCCATTTCACGTTTTGATTCAAAATTTTCGACCGTTTCAATTCTTGCGAAGCAGAATTTCTTCCTTAGTTTAACGGCCAAGTTAACGGAATCAATTCCTTCTCCAATTACCACCAAATGATTTTTCTCCCTCACAATTTTTATTTCCATCACACCTGCACTATAAACAAATTTTTAAAAAAAAAAAAAAAACCCTAATTAATAAATATTTTACTTCAATCACCTGACTTAAAAGTAATTAAAACAAAGTAAAATTTAGTGATCGAAATAAAATTCTTCTAAAAGTTCAACGATCAGTACTCGTGTATTTAACCCATAGCTCGTATTAGACTTTGATCGTGCATACCGTTAATAATTGAAGCAATCTTCATCGCTCTTGATCTACTACTTTCCTCATTTATTGGGACATAAATAACAATCTTTTGCTTCATTGCAACTGAAAAAAAATAATAATAAATAAATAAAGACCTAAATAGTAAATAAAGTTATAAACATATATGCAATAATTAATAGTCACATTCTTGGAACATTTATGTAGGGATAGCAATTGGGCTCGTCGGTTCAGGCCGTCAGTGAATCAGCTCAGAAAAAGCTCGAGCCTGCCCAACTCAAGGCTCGGGAGAATCGAGCTTAGACTCGAGCCAAGCCCCATTTTTAGGTGCTAGGCAAAGCCTAGCCGGCCTGTGTGACTCGCCGGCTCGAGAGAACCGAGCATATATTTAAAAAAATAATAAAAAATTTAAAGGGACAGCATGCTGCTTCCAGAAATAGGCAGCAGGTTGCTGCCTTGTTGGCAGCCATTGTTGCTTGCCTTTTTATAATTTTATAAAAAAAAAAAAAAAATTTCAAAACCAAACAAAACTCGAGTAGAAAGTTCGTGTCGAGCCTAATTTTTTTTTTTTTTTTTGTCGAGCTTTTGCTCAGCCCGCCTCGAGCCCAGAAAAAAGCTCAGATATTTTACCCGAGCCTAAAATTTTGGGCTCGCAAACCAACTTGTTGACATCCCCAAGCCAATTCACTATATTTGGTAAACCTCCGTTTGCTAAAATAATACAAGCTTAAGACCTTTAAGTGAAGGTGTATTTATATATGGGAAGAAATAGTGAAAACCTGGTGACCAAAATACACGAAAGAATTATGAATTTTGAAAAGTAAACTTCCTTATCAATGTCCTCCCGCTCTTTAATAGACCGATTCTCGAGTTTTTCTTCTCCTCTGTAACGTGCATTACAAGGGGACTACATTTCAAGATTATACTGTCCACGTTCTTGACTTGCAAGCAAGAATGATTAGTTATTATTCTAGAAATAATATGTAAAACACCAATAATGGATTCGGAATCATGAATATTCACTGAACATTCGGAATAAAATTCTGGAAACATGTAAAAACACAAAAATAAAATTTATTGATTTGAAGCAACAATTTTGATTTAATTCTGGTTGCATCCAAAAATGGCAAAAGCTACCTGTGTTCTTGTTGTCAAGGAATAAAAATCTCATATCGATTACAGATGAAAAGATAGACAAACTTATAAAAAAAGATTGAACTACTTCTCTTAATAAGACCGACTTTTTTAAAATGGAACCCAAATCTTAACATAGTATCACAATTCATTAAATTCTAACAAGAAATTCAATATGATTAAAGCTCACAAATGAGCACATAAATTTCAAGATTGATTTGCTCAAAAGAACCACATCTTGCAGGCCATGTTAAGAGATATAATTCTACATCGAATAAAGATGAAAATATAAACCATTTTATAAAGGTTTTTTTATTACTCCCCTTAATAAGATTGACATTTTAATATGGAACTTCAAATTTTAACACTTGTCAATTTATTAATGAGAAAAGAAAGAAAATATCTATGGCCTAGAAATACTTGATTATGATATTAGAGAGTAGATGCATGTTTCTATTGGAGCTGGACTCTACTTCGTTTATTGAGTGACTGAGTCCATTGTTTGAAGTTGACTGACCACTGTTCAGAGTCAATTGAGCAATAAAGTTGACCTGGTTTTGGCAAGTGGCCCAGTCAGGGCTTGTTTTATATAGTCATATTCTGAAAACGAGTTGAATCAAATGGTTTCTAAAACATTCGTACTCTTGCCCAATATGCAATTTGCATATTAAATGCATGGAATTTGCTCCTGTAAGCCCCACAAATGAGGGTGGGACCCCAAAAAAATGAGACCACCTTCCCCTTTTTGTGGAGTTCGGTCAGGGAGGCGATCAGCCTCCTGTTCCTGTACCAGCTCCCTAAGAATTAGTTAATGAGCCAAGAGCTCAAATCAAAATAATACTTTCTTGAAATAATTACCCTTACTTATTTGCATGAAAATTGTTAATTAACTATGCTTGATTAACTTATTTTTCAACCTAAAAAACATTTTTTTTTTCATAAAGATGCGTCTTAGCCGGGAAGTGTGAATTTCTCAGAAAATAAAAACATACCACATTTTAGACGATGTTTTCTTAAACATGGTCGAATTACCAACTTTTGGAAAATATTTTTCACGGAAAAAATGTCAAACAAGCACACTCCAAAAGTAGAAACTTGATTGAAAAATGATATTTTCCATAAAAATTAAGTCAATCAAACACGCTCTAAGTGTATCAAATATACTAAGATCTCAATGTCTAATGCTGTAAAAGTAAAAAAGTTCTTTGAAATACTGTTGGAATGTCCTTTTTTTGGTTCAAAGACTGTTCAAGAAAACATCGATCCTCAAAGACACAAAAAGCAATTGAGCAAATAAGGACGACTCTTTTTTCTATTATCTCTTCTTCACCTACTTGTCAGCTTCATATTTTTGTAAAATTAAGTTTAAGATATGCCAATACAATTCATCCTATCTAATAATCTCATATAGAAGTACGGGTAATTATTGATAATGGCATTTTACAAGCTTTTCTAGTTCTCAGATCGATGTCTAATTTAAATTCGAGAAATTTCTTCTCTCTAATACCCAATTTGAAGATAAATTGAGCAAAATGAATTTGAAGCTAAATTGGAGCTTAAGGATGGAATAGAGGAGCTATCAGGATGTTGGGAACTTGATTGGAAGCTTTGAAAGTGTAGTTGGATGAATTCACAAGTTTTGGGTACCAAATTCTATTTTTGGAGAAGTTTGGCTACCAACTTGAACATTCTCAACACTTTAGAGGATCAAATTTGCAGAAAATAGAAGTCGAAGGACTAAAAGTGTTTGGAAACACGAGCTGATGGACTAAACCCATATTGAAACTACGAATGATGACTCGATGAGGGACCAACTTGGGATTATCGAAAGTTGAAGGCTTAAGTTGACAAAATCAAAGGCAAGGGACTTACATGGAAGAAATTGTATAGTGGGGGGCTTGGTATTTAAATAAGAAGAAAATAAATGGCAAGGCATTATCTTCAAAACTAGTAAGCATTAACGAAAAGTAGCTGAATTTCTATAACAAGATCCCAAAAACTCAAATTTGCTGAAAAAGGTCAATATTGATAAAAGAGAGTCATTACAAGTACATGATACATAGATCAAACGAGAAAATTGATTGCAGAACACATTGCATGGTTTTCATACTCCAGGAAAATAAGAAAGATTCTCAAATGAGCCAATATGGGTGAAAGAATGAATCACGGGAATATGTTCGATCATAACACGGCCTTCACCACCCTTTCTAATTGCAGCCATAAATTCCTGGTTCATATCATACACTGTCAGCTCTTCAACATTGGCAAGTTTGCTGATGCCCAATGGAGGCATTTTCAGATTCTGACATCTACGGAGTGATATTTGTTGAAGTTCAGGCAAAGCATTCGTTTCAAACACTATTTTGTCTAGCTCTGGAAGTTCTTCAATAACCAATTTCTTTAGTTTTTGGAAGCTCGAATCTTCAAATACTAACTCCTTGCCAACATAACAATCGACCAGTTGAAGCTCCATGAGGTTACGCAGATCTAGAAGAGAATTCAGTGGACTGTAGTACAACTTGGACCACTTCAGAACAATTTTGAACAGATTATCAAGAGAGGAGATCCATCTCGGGAATTCTTCGAGGCGTCCTTTCAAGTATAGCCGCTGAAGAAATTTAGGAGGATTGACCAATTCACCCAGTTGAAGATACTCTTTCTTAGTGGTTGTACTTAGATCCAAACTATTAAGATTCTTCATCTTTTCAATAGATTCGCACAAGTCTCTGCTAAATTCTTCCGGGATCCCAGTAAGTCCCAGCTTCCTGAGTTGGCTCAAATTTTGTAACTCCCGTATGATCCTACCACTTTTGCAAACCTTCACAAGAGACAATGCCTGTAGATTAGTTAAGTTTTTAATCCCTTCAAACACCTTAACTCCTCGTATAGAGTCAAAATCTGTAAAATTCTTCACAGTTTTTTTGCTGGCGAAGAGATGCCGGAGATTCTTCAGGACACGGATTTTTTTTGGAAGCTGGATCACATTAGTCCGCTTAAGATCCAATGTTTCAAGGTAATAAAGCTTCTTTATGGACTTGGGAATCACCTCTATTTCAGTATCCCTGAAACTAAGATACTTTAGGAGGCCGAGATGAACAATTTTTTTTGGAAATTCTTTCAGAGTTGAACCTTGCAAGTCCGAGATTCTTAGCAATCTGAAATCCTGAAATTTGTTTTCAATAGCAGTGAGAGAACTATTGTCGTTGCTGAAGAGGAACATGGAACGAACACCAGGGAAATCTATCTGAATGTTCCTTGACGAACAAGTGGAAGCACTCTGAACAGATAGGCGACGTACTTTCTGGTTTGGACTGTTTTGCTTTGAGAAAACTGATACAAAATTCTCGTCCTTGCATTTCTGAACAATAAATTCACGCAAAAGGTTGAGAACTCGACAGTTTTTTGGTCGACCATCAAAATTCCTTCCGGAAACATGAACCAAATTCCTCATAATCAGTTGGTTAAGATAGTCCTCGGCTACCTCTTCAGCTGTTTTCCCATCTGTTTCCATCACAAATCTTTCCGCTACCCACAAGCGTACGAGCCTCCCACAATCAACAGAGTAATCTTCCGGGAAAATGCTGAAGTACAAGAAACAACTCTTAAGATCACTTGAGAGATCCTTGTAGCCAGACAACAGCACACTCCCAATACCTGACAGATAGGAACTACTTCCAATTTCATATCCAAGGCCGGCGTGAAATTTCTCCCACACATCTGGATACTTGGGTTTCTGTGATAGCACAGCACCTACTGCCGAAATAGCAAGGGGTAGTCCTTCACATCTTTTCACAATTTTGTTAGAACAATCCTTCAACTCTGAAGGACATTCCCCATTGCTATCGTGGAAGGCCTTTTTACAGAAGAGCGTCCAAGCATCTAGCCATTCCAGACCATTCAGGTTATGTATAAATCGGTTTGAGGATGCAAACGAAGACGCCACGTCATGAGCCCTGGTGGTAACAATTATTCTGCTGCCAAAGACATCATCTGGCAGAGCATTCATAATGCACTCGTAGTGTTCTACTCTCCAAATATCATCTAGAACAACAACGTAACTCTTTTCCATCAGGTAATTTCTTAGATTAGTCAGAATATCTCCAGCTTCACGGTGATATGGTTCCTTTCTAGATGTACGAAATTGATCTAGCATACCGCTTAAGAGTTCCTTGACATCAAAGTGCCGAGACACATGAACCCAAGCATGGCAATCAAATTGTCCAAAAATGTTTCTTTTCCAGAACACATTCTTTACGAATGTCGACTTCCCAGAGCCACCAGGGCCGACCACAGCTATTCTGACTAGTCCCTTTTCTCCCTCCGAAGGTGTTGGAATGATGCGATCATCTATCAATTGACGAACAAATTCTTCCTTGGGTTTTTTATACCCAACCAGTTCATCGTCAAGGAGAAGAGGACTCAATTGAACTCGAGCAGTGCTTGTGCCAGAACTCCTTGTATCTCTTGAAGGGGGGTATCCAGCGGGATCGAAGATTCTCATTTGTGAGCCCATAAGTTCGATATTTTTGTTGATGCTTGTGATCTTGTCGGAGATCTCTCGAAGAGGATAGCCATGCTTGATATTATGGCTCACCTCGAAAGATTTCCGAATGATTTTATTGCTGCGAAATTCATACATGCTGTGCAGGGAAACATCCTCAAGAACATCCTCTATCTCATAAGCAATGTCTCGAACTTGTTCGACTTGATCTTTGCGCAACCTACTGCCGTGCTCGATAAGGTCGTCATTATCCTCTATGAAGGCCTTCATCCTCCTCAACAAACGTATGATATTCTCAATTTTACGAATGTCGACTTCCCAGAGCCACCAGGGCCGACCACAGCTATTCTGACTAGTCCCTTTTCTCCCTCCGAAGGTGTTGGAATGATGCGATCATCTATCAATTGACGAACAAATTCTTCCTTGGGTTTTTTATACCCAACCAGTTCATCGTCAAGGAGAAGAGGACTCAATTGAACTCGAGCAGTGCTTGTGCCAGAACTCCTTGTATCTCTTGAAGGGGGGTATCCAGCGGGATCGAAGATTCTCATTTGTGAGCCCATAAGTTCGATATTTTTGTTGATGCTTGTGATCTTGTCGGAGATCTCTCGAAGAGGATAGCCATGCTTGATATTATGGCTCACCTCGAAAGATTTCCGAATGATTTTATTGCTGCGAAATTCATACATGCTGTGCAGGGAAACATCCTCAAGAACATCCTCTATCTCATAAGCAATGTCTCGAACTTGTTCGACTTGATCTTTGCGCAACCTACTGCCGTGCTCGATAAGGTCGTCATTATCCTCTATGAAGGCCTTCATCCTCCTCAACAAACGTATGATATTCTCAATTTTATTCTTCATATCACCTTCATCACGATCACCTTTCTTGCGATTAAGGTGTAGGCTGATGGCCGGGAGCGCCATCTGAAGTGAAACCAATGCTGAAGAAATAGCAGTTTCTGCCATGATTGTTGCTTCTTCTTTGACGTCAGAGCGGAGGATCCTTTGTGCACCACCGTGGAATTGAGACAGACGAGAAAAAAGCACGAGAAATTACCGAAACTCTTGCGCTAAAAAACGAAAAGGAACTGTGTTCAATAATTTATTTTATGGCAATGATCTCTCCAATGGGATATCATTTTTATTTATACAGCAACAGATGCTTGAGGTGATCGATGTCATTATCATACACCGTGTTTAGGTCTTTCAGTCGCCATACAACATTTACAACTCGCTTTGTGGAAATCGAGAGACACACGAAGATTCCTAATGAGTTGAACGAGGAAAAGTAAACATATTGACTATGTCGAGATTTCAATACACAGTACATAAGGAGAAATATTTCAGTAGAACGGTCGTATAAAGACTTTGTCATAGATCCTTGCAAACTATGATTTTTTTTATTTTTTATTTTTCCCTCCAAACGCTGATAAATAAAATGAAACCAAATAAGTTTGCAGTTCAAGGTTAACAAGAAATAAATCATTACAATTTTCATTTTTTGGCATACAAATATGTTCAATTCTAAATATAGGAAAGCCAAAATAAGCGAATGTTCGATAAATTGATGATCTTGTTTAAACAATAAAACTCTTAGATCCCAACTTGAGTCAGTGTATTAAATTAATAACCCTGTTAAATGCACAAGATAATAATTTTTTTTAGATCCTTTAATGCCAAATGAATATATAAAATAATAATTGCTTAAATTTATAAAAGTTCATAATTATACAAATTAACAAACTTTTAATTTTCAACATTTTTTCATTAATTCGCCTCTTTCAAAAATACGCATCTAAAGTCTTTTTGTGTGTTCACAGATTAAATTTTAAAATTTCACCACATTCAAAATTTTTTTTTTTAAATTTTCTATATGTATTATGGTAAAATATAATACAAGTTATACAAATATAAGATAATCTATAAATTAATAAATTCTTCATTTATCGATAAATTAATAATCTCTCTAAAATGATAATTTTTCTCGATCTCAACATTATTATTTTTATAGGCTTAAATTAAAATTATAAAATATGGCATTTGACATGAGTTCAATACCAAACATTGAGATGAGTCCAATCTGTAAGCCTGACAAAATCCTCCTTTACCATGAAGATCACAAATTATTGTCTCTATTGGGCAGTTTCACAGAAAGTTGACAAAATCCTCCTTTACCATGAAGATCACAATTTTTTTAGTTATAAAGTTACTTTTGCTTAAAAATAACTTTTTAAATTATTATATTTTTATTTAATCAAAAAAAATTATGTATAAGAGAGAAAACGTGAATTAATTATTTTGTCTATAAGAATTACATTTAAGATAATCAACTAGAATAATATAAAGTAATTTTTAACTGGGAGAGAAATACCTTTTGGTTTGGACTAAAAATGACATGACTCACAGATTTTTCGCCCATAAATGTTGAATTCGATAATGTAATTTCCACGAAATACTCATCAAAATAAGCAAAGAACTGGTCCTACAAATAAAAAATGCAAGAGGAGACTTTGAAAAGTCCCAAAAAAAAAAAACAAAATACTTTTGAAATATATTAATCAAAAGATAATTTGAAATCTCAAAAGTACAACAAATATGATATTTTATCACACAAAATCATAAAAAAATAAAAAAATGAAAAAAATGAAAAATAAAAAAATATTCTTTTTATCAGCTGGATATCGATAAATTGATCATATAGAAATTCATAGTGTTACTTTTTAAGAATAAAAAAAATTTGTGCCTAAATAATGGATGCTGAGAAGAACAAAAGGCATGGATCTTAAAAGTATTATTTCGGCAAAGAATTAATCTACTTGTACCAAATATCTTACCTAATTTTTGATCGAATTGACAAGTGACTCTCCCTACTGAAGGGGCGCCTGTCCAATCCAATAAGGGCGCAACACTTGTCAATTCGATCATCCATTTAGTAAATGATTTGGTACATATAACATCTTTGCAAAGGACGAAGCAGCAACCAAAATAGCAAGTAAAATTAAAAATTTCATAGTTACAAAAACGCTTCACAATCGAGAAATATTAACAAAAATACAAAAGCCAAAAATCAACAAGAGTCCACGACTCGATTAGTGATTTGGAACATATAGCATCTTTGCAAAGGACGAAGCAGCAGCAGCCAAAATAGCAAGTAAAATTAAAAATTTCATAGTTACATAAACGCTTCACAATCGAGAAATATTAACAAAAATACAAAATCCAAAAATCAACAAGAATCCACGACCCGATTAGTCACAACCATTTTCTAAAATGGGAAGCATCCTTCTTGTAAAGTGTTAATATTGACAAAAAAGCCAGTGAAGTGTGTACACAGCAGCTTCTTCACATCTGCATATCACGATTTGCTAGCATCTGTTTCAACCTTTGTGATTTCAAAACGCTCATTTGGTGAAGCTCTTTCAAAATATCAATATAACCGCTCAAGGGTCGTCCACGGACTTCAGACGTGTATCTTTCAAAACCGAGCCTCAGAGCATCATTAAGAGAACCACGAACATCATAACCAATCCTTCCAAACGTTTGCTCTACATGATTAAGATAACCACCGAATATTCTCCTGCATTCATTTCTAATGGACGAGTGCCGTGTTAGTGCATTGTGCAAAGGCATGTCATTTGTAAATGTAAACGGACAATATGGAAGTCCTTTATCAAATAATGCTGCCAGCTGTTGTTCAATCTGGATTGGGATCTCTAGATATTTTACAGTTACTAAGTCCAACTTCCTCTTCCGTACCCTCGCCAATTTTGTAGCCCCAGCAGTGCAGAGCATGAACTTGAAGGTACTGCACTTACCCAATGGAAATGGCTCGTCACACTTGGAACCTGTTCCCTTTTTATTGGTGTAACCTGGGTAGTCCTCAATTTTGAAATCAGCACATTCAATCATCTCTAAAGCATAATTTGATGCAAGATCCCCAATTTTCCAATTGTTGAACGGATACGTCGTCTTGTGGCTAACATGTATTTCACCATTTTCTTGCAACATGTCACAAGCATTCCTAAAAAATTCACAGGCAAGATTCCTGTGCAACCTGCAAATAAGATTTACGAAAGCATAATCCTCTAACCTGTACAAGAAAAATACTAAAAGAATTGCAGCAGAGAAAGTGATGATCACTTGTGCAGTCACAGTGATTTTGAACTATGTCAAGGAGAAAACATAATGAGAAGGAAACTAATAGAGCAACCCAACTAGGAATGGTTAAACTATAGATAGCACAAACTGTGAACTTCAGCTTATTTTCTTCATTGAGAGATACACAGACTTACTTGATAACTCCGGGCTTGTGTTCTTTCCCATGGAAACCTGCGTGAGGAAAGTTATAAATAATTCGGTCGAATTTCCGTTTTTCAAGACCTGGATGAAGCTTGATTTTCTTTACATCCACTTCATGTAAAATGGAAGCCCCATTAAATTTCAAAGCAAACAGATTTGCGTTTGCATTCTTGTACTTTATGATTAACTCACCTGTTTGAACAAAAGGAATTACTCGGACATTAGATAGCCCACAAAAAATTGAAAGGTAACAGTGATCAAAGCACAAGAAATAGATTAAAGTTAGCTAAAGGACATACAAACAAGTGAAAAAGCATTAACCTCGAGGAAACAAAAAACCACAGAAGTAAGAAGCATTTTACATTCAAGAGCAGTTGTGGGTTCCAATAAATTCTTTGAACCATATGGACCACAGAATATATTATAAACAAGCAAAAATAAAATAAAATTAAGAACAATCAATGAAAGCACAAAAACATCAGGTAAACATGTGAATCCATTCACAGATTCCCTCAGTCCCTCGGCAGAACATAGAACTACAGAGAGAAAGAAGTAGAGAGTAAACCAATCTAATGACGGCGTTTCTCAAGAAAAAGAAAGGGGAGTAAGGGCAAACCATAGGAGTCGAGGGAAGAAGCTGTAATGTTGGATGCAGTGCCAAAAGCGAGAGCCAAAGACAAAGAAAACGAAAAGTCTCCTTCCCCCACTAACAGTATTTGATGAAGCGATGAATAGTGTTTGATCCATTTTTCTTCCTCAGTTTCCATACATTCTTTCTGGTTTACTAGTATCCGATGAAGACATGGATCTGTTCTTGTTGAAGAGAGAATTAAAAAGGTATTTATCTTATGCAATTATTTGAAAGGACGTTTCAAAAGAATGGCGTGGATTGCATCGCCATTCGCCATTTATTATTATTATTATTATTATTATTTTTTTTTTTTTTTTTTTTTTTTTTTTTTTTTTTTTTTTTTTTTTTTTTTTTTTTTTTATACCGAGAAGTTCCAACTTCGTCTGACTAAATCCTGGACTTCAAGCTTCCGGCTCCTCATTAGCTTGAGTAAGTTAAACGCGGGTTGTGCCCTTATTTGCTCCCAAGTTCCTACATGGCCTTTATTCCTTTTCCAAAGAGGACCCTCTCCACTGCCTTCCAACACCTTGCATTCGAGATAAATCCTCCTTCCAAGATGCTGCATTCCAGGAATCGAACCCTCCACGCTTGGTTTGTGAGCCCACCAATGCAATTGTTCCACCAACTCGGATGTGCCCCGGGGGGCAGATTGCATTGCCATTCTGTTTGATGGGGGGCGTGGTTTGGGCATTGGGTGATTTTGTCGTCGGAAAAAATCACTTTGATAGTTGGACCTGCAATATAAATAATAATTCCAAATTTGAATAAATATATAAAATATGCCCTTTTCGGTAAATATTAAAATCAAATTTTTAGTATATTTTGATAAAAGTCGATGAAATATATAATTAAAAAATTATGGGACCGATAAAATTTGTAGTTAAATTTAATTGTTGGCAAGGGTTATATATACTTTTTCCATAAAATCAGACTTACTACGCTGCATTTTTATGAAAAAACATTGTACTTCAAAAATTTCAAGGCATAATGATCATTAACACATTGGTGGAGAAGCTGTTATTGATATGGAAATCATTGATCTCGTAGGAAATGTGGATATTCCACCATTTTCGCTCATCATATCTTTAGCATTCTTGAAGAACAAACTCACAATTTTCTACTTCTATGCTTTCTTCGAATGAAGAGAAAACAAAGTAGTTTAACAACAGACATACTGATGAAATTACAAATAACTAACAAATAAAAACTATATACACTACATTACTTTTTCATATTTTAACGACACTCAGACATCACAAAATTGGACTATGTCCCATTCCTTAAAGATACACGAAATCTATTTGCCTACATTATCAAGTAAATTAATTAACACGCTGAACTTGAGCCTCTTCTAAGCCCAAACTTGTACGTTTTGCTTGGGTAACATAAAAAATTATCATTACGACCAAAGCCACACTTGGTGCGATAACCTGGATAATCAAAGTGACTAAATTTCGCAGCCTCGATCAGTCCAAGTCCATAGGAAGAAGCCATGGATTCTAACTTCCAATCAACATGGAAATTATTGGTCTTGTGGGTTATATGAATTTCACCATTTTCACTGATCAAATCCTTAGCATTCTTGAGAAAAAGACTCACAAGTGTTTTGTGCTTACTGCATAGGAAGAAAAATAACGTCATTTAATTGAAGATTTATCCATGTTATTACAATAAAGTCGAAAAATGATGTCATTAACCAAAAGAATTACAAGAAGTTAACTCAAGGACGAGCGATAAAATTCTCGGTGAAATAACAAATTAATGATAACTCACCATAGTTGAGCCTCGCGGGATAAATGCTTAAAAAAACCAGCATATGGAAAGTTGAAAATTATTCGATCAAATTTCATTTCTCCGAGCAAGTGATGATTTGAAATATTAGTAGCATCAATCCCATGCATGACCTTGCTCTCCCTATTCCTTAGCTTCTCGATGTTGGACATTGCATGCGTATAATTTGCTTTCAGAAAATCTGGAAATTTAACACGCGAAACCTTAAACGTTAAATATGCACATTGGGATACCAATCTAAGTCATTGTCAAACACGACATACAAATTTCATATCGTCTAGTTAATTATACTTTTGTTACAAAAAGCAAAACATCTTCTGAACAGTAGAAGGTGATCCAACTAATCTTTTGGAGAGACAAGGTTGTAAGAATAATTTTATTCAAGCATTAGTTTCTTTTTGAGGAGTACGATTTCATTTATTTTCATCTCTCTTTGTCCTAGGCGTTGAACTTTGATATTCTATTGGAAGGCCTCAATATGAATTAAAATAGGAACTGGCATTGACGTTAAGCATGGCAATGTACTGCAAGATGTGGTTTGTAATTTGTATAACATTTTCAAGAATATATCTGCGATCTCCTAGTTCATTATGCTTTCTTCATAAGTTTCCTCAAATTATCGTAAAATTTTCTTGTTTATGCAAAATTATATTAATTATTTATAACTTTGTAAGTATATTCTTTAAGCTCTGCGAAATATATGCTTAAAAATTCAAAATCTTGAGCTAGTGAAGTATCAAATTCATCAAACCGAAACATAATTTATCAAAATGCACTTTTACGTGAGATAATCAGTCACTACTCTCTAATTTAGCTCAGTACAGACTGATGAAGCAACCTCCATCAAGATAATATCAGGTTTTCTACGAATGTCGAATCTGTTTTTTAGATACTAGTAAAGAAGAAGATGAGGGTAGAACTTAATTACCATATTAATTGGATCACAGCAAAATGATAGTCACCAGATGATGATCTCGTTACATCAAATCGATCATCATCTCCTGAAATCAGCCACGCTTGATTTCACTGGCCGAAAATAGAAAGGAAAACATAAACTGCGATTACTGTCAGGATGATGAGGAGGAAGACCAAGACATAGTTTGTGTAGATCAAAATTTTGATTTTTATATAAATTGAAGTTTTAATTAATATTTCATAGAATCCACAAATCTAAAAATCCAGTTTTAATACCACCAAACTGATACTTAGTGATGAAGATACTTTGAAAAACTTGGTACTTTTTGTAAGTGTTATGCCCTAAATCCAATCGATATAACTAGATCCAATCGATTTAAGTTATAAATGCTTTTAATATATTTAAAGCATTTGATTTTGGCGAGATCTATTATTTATTTAAATTAATTTTGTGATAAATAATATTAAATAATAGAATCCGAAGATCCAATTTTTAGGTAATCTGTTAATCACAAGGAGTTGTGATTGTGAGATACAAATTACATATAATTGGATCTTGAATAAATCATGGTCGTAAGTAATAACGAGATACGGATATCGTTAATACAGTTAGACCATCACGTGTGGCATTTCTTACTTGTGAGGTAAGTAGCTGATCTCACGAGCTAAAGTGTGGTGATACTTAAATGAACACGTGGATGTTTTGTTATAGAACAAAACATTGGAGACCCGCTAAGAGATTCCACATGGATAACTATCTGAGTATCAGTGGCTAATCTCTAACGTTCGGTAGTGGAATTGGTCCTTTGACTTTAGGTCGTCATGGTACCTTATATAAGGACAGTCATACTTTGGCGGTGTTGAATGTTGCTCTGAAAGGGGTCGCTAATACGATATCGTTCGGATATGTCAAGAATCGTATGAAGGTTGTGATTGATCAATAAAGGATTCGTCGCTCTTAGATAGTAGGAGATTATGATCTGCGTTTCATTCAATTAAGTCGGTGATGAAATCTTTGGCCAAGGTGTACTCATAAGTCGAAAAGGAGTTTTCGATTTATATTGACTTAATAGTGGAGTGAAAGATATGATCAATGATCGAGATTGACACAATTCCATATTTCATAATTGATCGGATCGTATTAATGAATGGATAATTGTTTCATGGTAAACGAACGAATTTGATTTTGTCATACCACGTGACATTTTCCGTCACATATATTGCCCTAACACATTGCTAGATGTCAATCAGGGACGACAAGTGTGAATTGACGATAAATTAAAAGGGTGTATTAATTTATCAATTTTGATTAGATCAAAATAATATTTCACGACATTAGGCATCGTGGTCGGGAACCTAATGGGTCGCACACAAAAGAGAATTAGAAGATTGCAAATTGTCAATTGGTTAATTTAACAATCGTTGGATAAATTAATTAATTGAATTTGTTGTTTATATTCCCGAATTAATTAATTGGATTAATTAATTCACGGACCAGGTTTAATTAATTGGATTAATTAAATATTGGACGAGTCCGTTTGGGTTTATATATATACATAGCTAGGGTTTGAAATTTATAAGGTTTTCATTATTTTTGCTGGCACAAGAGAGAAACCCTAGCAGTTGCAGTCTATTCTCTGTATGGATTTCATTGGAGGCTGGACAATTGGACAGCTGTGGGAGGCAGATTCAAGCTGCTGGAAAGGAATAACGCGAAGGAGTTTGCAAATTACAAGAAAAGGTATATTTCTTATCACAGTTTTTATCTAAATACAAAGCTGAATCCTAAATGGGAATTGAAATTTGTTAAATTCCACTGTGCATGTTTAAGTACATTTCCTACACTTTTGACTAGATAATGATTATAATTAGGCTAAAGAGAAAAGCAATTTGTTGTTGCTACTTTTGTTATTTGGCACGGTATGTAGTATTAATATTTTCATTCCGTACCTTAGAAGAATATATTGAACTGACCGTACATATTATATGCAATTAAGGAGATGAAACTGCACCAGCTTGTACCATGGTAAAATTTGGTGAGCAAATCATAACAATGAATAAATTGATAACAATGACTTCAATTACAAAAAATATTATGCAAACACCCATTGTACTACCCTCTTGTTGTTGTGCCCCCAATATACTTGATTGACCATTCAAATTTCAAGATTCAACAAATGTAGTCAGTTAATAGTATTTCAAATAACCCAACAAAAACTATTCAATTTCCTTACTGTTCCTATCTCAAGTTCAATCCAACCTTTTCCATTGATTAAAACAATCAATAATAGACAACAACATTTTGTAAAACACAAACTCCCCTGCTTTGCACAAAGAAATTCTCATCATAGTAACCACTTTCTTTCTGCCCCGTTTATTTCTCTCTCTCCCAAATACACAAGTACACTCAATGCTGCCTGTTCATTTTATATACTCACGAGTTAAGAGTTATTGGTCTGTTGAGCTCGTCCAGTGGAGCTTACTACAATCAAGATTGTTCCTCTGTACATGGGGTTTTCTTTTGTTATGGGAGCCGAACAAGGCGTATATTCGTCAATAAAAAATTAAAAAGTTCGAAGTTAACAATCTTTACTGTAATTAATTACTTTACAAAATGTATGAGCTGGTGAAGATTAAAAGGAGACCGTAATTAGAGCATTAATTACAAAAATTCCAATTAATTGCAATTTTCCAAAAATTTAAGCAAAAGTGTGCAATTAATTACGAAAAATAAGGTGAAATTTACCCACCTAAATTCATTCGTTGTCGAAGCTGATGTTGTCTTATTTTCCATCGTCTAACGTCGCCTAACAAATCTTGGCTTGCACTAAAGTTGGTACTGTCTCAGATGGTGGGTTTAGGCTGCTGAATTAATTTTGGCAATGGTTTTCGGCCGGTTGCAAAAGTGGACAGAGAAGAAGACCTTTGTTGTACAATAATGAGTTGCTGTCTAATTTTTTTTCCGCTCATTCTTCCCTCCAAACAGCAGTTCCATTATTGATATAAAAAAAAATGATTGTCAAATGAAAAGGGATGCAAGTTAGCATGCCACGTCTGAATTTTCAAAATTCTATATTTTACCTTGTTTAGAAGTCTATCACAGTAGCACTATTGAGATAGAAAAGTATATTTATTATTTCACAATTTTTAATTGAAAAAATGGGCGAAAATGACATTTTGGGCAATGAAAAGTGAAAATAAAAGTGAAAATGTCAAAAAATGAAAGAGAATGTTATTTTCCATAATAATAGTGAAAGATAAGGACATTAGGTGCTAATTGCATTTTTAATGTAGGGACGAGGGGCAAGCACATGGACTAAAAAGTCAAGGTCTTCTGCAACTTACAAACGTATTATATACCCAACTTCTCGCATATATTATTTGTGCATGATTGGGTGAGCTTAAGAAATTATTTGCGATTTAGTTTATTTTATAAGTTTTGAGTGCTTTTATTAAGCTTAAAATGAAATGAAACTTGTAAGATTTTTTATTTTTTTTAAAGATATAAATTTGAAATTAACTTTCAAACTTAGCCAAACATGTTTTTTAAGTTTGAAAATAATTAAGTTATTTATTTTAAAACAAACCTAAAAAAGTAATTCTTTTAGTTCTACCTGAAAGCGAATTAACATGTCTTAGAAATAAAAATTTACTTCAAAATTTAGATGTGATGTTAGAGATTTGATGCATGTTTTAATTTCTATCGAGTTCTATTATTTGTCAAAACTCAACGTATGCATGTGGCCAAGTTAAGGTTTCTTATTTTGAAACTGCGATAATTTGAAAACGAGTTGAGTATTCAAATTAAGGTTTCGAAACATTCATGTTCTTGAAAATTAAAAGATATGAAGCCATGAGATGAGAGTTAATGAGCCAAGATCATGAAAAGCGATTTGTCAAAATACTTACAAACGACCGAATTAGTATGTTGAAAATGCTATTTGCAAGATTGGCAAAGTCTAATTTCGGGAAAATCAATGGCTGCATCAAAGATACAGTGCTAGTACATCTGAGAATTCTTAATTGGCTAGTTGTAAATAGCCCCAGGGCTATGGAATAAAGGATTATTTCGGACCTACACCGAGGTATTGACGGTGATTAAACAACTATGTTATATCATGATATGTATAATATTGGGGGAGTATGGGACAAAAAATAAATCTACTTGATTTCAGACTTGGTACAATCCAAGGTTATCAACCGCTGATATCCACCACAGGGTAAGCCACCGCCTCTCAGGCCTCTCGACTGATTCTACCGTA